AACATTAAAACGAACCACTGGCCTCCACATGGCAGGTCTGGTAACTTAGGCTGACAGTGGTCGCAAAACTAATAATTAATATTTAATAATGTTTCCCGAAAACACGAAAAATAGCTGTGATAAGGTCTAAGATGCCACAAATCAGTGATGCTGATCAGAGTAATCTAGGAGGCAAGACTGAGTCTCAACACCTAATGTGATTATTGACTAGTTAACAAGTTGGGGAGAGTGACAGCAGGGTGAGAGAGATGACAGCAGGGTGAGAGAGGATGACAGCAGGGTGAGAGAGATGACAGCAGGGTGAGAGAGATGACAGCAGGGTGGGGAGAGAGGGACAGCAGGGTGAGAGAGATGACAGCAGGGTGAGAGAGATGACAGCAGGGTGAGAGAGATGACAGTTGACTTAGGTGGTCAAGAGCAGCCAGTGCGGTGATGGTGTCTCCTGAAATGGTAAATTATATTTTCTACCTGATTTTTTGAGTGTTGATATAGAGATATTGATATAAATGAAGATGTGAAGAAGATGCTAAGTGAGAAAGAGAGACTTATTTATTTACTAAATTATTATTTCTGGTTTCATATGATAAAGAGCAGCCGGTGTACTTGACTTATCTTGTTTCCACATTCTTAGATCTCTCAGAAGCATTTTATTGTAAATATTGTAAATCCATATTCTTGATAGTTACTGTAACCAAAGTGACTCCAGTAACTATAACTTTCACTGTAACAACACGGAATTACTCCTTCGAGATAAAGTTGATAAGTTAGCCAAAAAAGTATCCTGAAGGAATATGTAAAATGTAACTTTGGCATGTCTGTGTTTAACATTAAGAATATTAGTTGGAGAAAAATAGTTAATGAAACTGAATATTATAGGAATGCAGTTAGGAATTTGAGAAGATTTATTACCCACTATGATAACATGAACGTTTGTGGAGCGGCCAGCTGGTCCACACAGTCATCACAACCAGGTTGATCTGTCACTTGTTTAATGTAGTGACCGACTTTCCATTTGATGACTAATACATTTATTCCTATACTGTCTCTGATATCTGCTGGTGACAAGTTGAGGAGTCTTGGGCCACGTAAGTTGCGTCTATGATGCCCTTCCATATCACTGAATTTATTCCCGTATGACCTGGCCCTCCAGTAATTTCCTGGTGACTCCCAGAATCGTAGTAACACGACTGTATACATTTCGTGGAAGGGACGGTATTCGAACCTACAGCAAACCAGTTGTAAACTTAACAGTCCAGTGATGTAACCACTACACCATGACAACCTAATAAGATTCATCCAACTAGATATTTATCTATAGATTAAACAAGTTAGCATTAGCCGTACTCTGGAGACTGGTTAATTATGTGACTGGCTAATTATGTGACTGTTTAATTATGTGGCTGGTTAATTATGTGACTGGTTAATCATGTGATCGGCTAATTATATGACTGGTTTTAAATTTTATGACTTGCTAATAATATGACTGGACAGGATTCAACACCCTGGCTGAATTCTGTTCATTCCGTGAGCTGTTTAATGTACAATTATGTTACTACGATTTTTGTGAGTTTACTGATAAGGTTGGGAAGGGAACTGTGTCAGATCTTGCCACAGGCTGCGTTGGTGTTTCTTAGTAGAAACTTTGAATTTGTTTTAGTTTGTGTATGTGGGCAAGTGTTCTTTTTATTAGTTTGCATGAAGTACTCTCTCATGATTGCCTTCAGATCTTCAGTGATAACATTTGATGTAAACTGAGATATGCTCCATCAGACACTTGCACTCCAAAATAAAATAAAAAAACTGATGAATGATGAAAAAGGCAGTTGTGGGCACAACTGAGCAATTAACCAATACCCCTGTTAGCAGATCCTCCAGAATCCTACACAAGACGTTTATATAATATATAAAATTTACATTACAAGGAATATTTTTATATTATATATAATAGCAGTAAATGTAATGCAAATATATAACAAATATTACATGAGAACGGTATTTAAAAAATCAATTGCGATCTTGAACTTTCTAGTTACTGACCAATAAAATCCTATTCTATTTTTAAATAATGTACCGTTTACAAAACTTATGGTGTTGTTGTCTCAGTGAATCTTACTTTAAATGCGAAGTCTTTGTTGGCAGCTTCGTACAGCCTCATCATAACAAAGAGGTTCCTTTACATTCTTTTTTAAACAGTCTGTGAGAATGGAAGTCAGATCATTTAAATTATTCACAAAAATTCTATAGAAATTTACTGACACAAGGAAACTTCTCAGCAATTTTTTTTTTTTTGCAATTTAGAAGGTGCTTTCGTCTTGTTAGTATGAGGTGATAAACTATTGTCAGAAATAAACCCGAGGTATTGTACCTGGAAATATCCAAGTAAACACTTCTATGGTTTAATTGTAAGGCCATGAACTCTTATTCTTTTTAAAACCAGCGACAGTGTAGTAGGATGATCTTCCCAGACATGAGTCATGATGTAAATATTATCTAAATACAATGAAACATTCATGAGGTCAGAAAGGACTATTCTCATAAGCCGGATATACGTGGCACCCCACGGTGACCAAGCCGAAAAGTATTGTGCGATATTGCATTAGTCTTCTATGAGTAGGGAAAGCCGTGTATGGTTTAGAGTCTGGGTGTAATGATACTTGATGGCATGTTTGTGAGATATCTAACTCAGAGAAGAATTTACAGTCATGGAATTTATACAAGTCATGATCGATTACTGGCATGGGCTCAGCATACCATTTAGTGATAGCGTTTAAATAACGAAATCTTGTGCCAGTCTGTAAGAATTGTCTGTTTTCTTTACCATAACAACTGGTGGACAGAAAGTTGATGTAGAAGGTTCTATGATATTTAACTTTAAGAGTTTGTTAACTTCATTATCAAATGTTTTCCGTAAGTGAACGGGAACAGGATAGATTTTCCGTCTTACTGGTTCATGAACTGACAATTCAATCTTGTGTACAACGGTAGTGGTAAGTCCTGGGATCTCTGTAAATACGTCTTAAAAAGTATTTACTAAGGCACTTACTTGAGACTTTTGTTTACTAGATAGTTCACTGTTGATGTTGCTGTTTGAGTTATTCGTTGGAGAATCAACAGGTTCATTCGGTTCTGTGCGAGTCTCGACATCTATAATACAAACTTTACATTCACAAGAATCATGACTTATAACTAAGCTGTAAGATGTTCTGTCTTCATCAAAGGAGTTTAAACAAAGATTAACTTCTCTACGTGGTATATTTTCAAAATATTTACATGATACATTCTTTCCTTATCCTTGACATTCAAGAGATAATCTACCTTATTAAAGACCTTTACTACTTTATTTCTGTCCGCGCCAGGAAATTAACAATTTGTTGGATTTGTCTGGAAAAGAACTTAAACTTCATCACCAATATTAAAATTTCCTCTAACAGTTCTTTTGGTCAAAATAGGTCTTTTAGGTTTCCATTGACATATTCAGGTTCTTGACAACCAAAAAACATTTTCTTCTAATCTTTCTCTAAGATCTAAAAGAAACTAATATGTGTTATGAACTTTATGTTTAAAATCTTTGGCCCACAGTTCATTCAAGATAATAGAGGTCAACAGGCTTGTCTCCCATAAAGTAATTCGGGAAGGGGAATATCCAAGGGAACCATTGGAATCTCACGCATTGTAAAGAGAGCACATGGTAGATATCTATGTCAGTCAGTTGGTTTAAGAAAGCAAAAGTTTCTTTAATATGACTTTCGGATGGAATGTTGTTGTTCCACTCTTCCGTTATAATTTGGATGGTAAGGTGTAGTGAAAAGAGGTTGAACACCCACAAGTTGATAAACTTGATCATTATTCAGGGTAAATTGGTGTCCCATGATCAGAAAGAATTTCTCTGGATATACCTACCCGTGCTAAATTGATAGTAATGCTTCTGCAACTTGTACTGACGTAATGGATTTCAAGGGTACCGCCTCTGGGAAGCTGGACGCATAGTCAAGATATATTTATGACCTGATGAACGAGGAGTGACAGGACCAACTATATCCACTGTAACTCTAGCAAATGGGACTGAAAAAAAACTGGTATTTTTACCATAGGAACTCTCTTAGTTCTCCCCTTTTGTGAGAAAAGTTGAAATACGTGACAAAATCTACAATACTTATAGATGCCTGAAGGCATCCCAGGCCAGAAGTATAAGTCCCTAATCTTCTCATAGGTCTTTCTGTGTGAAAAATGTCATTTGGATTGTCCGTGGACACTATTCTTGAATCAAAGATTATCTTTATTTACAAATTTATAAGAAAATTTCTTTCTTTGAATCACGTTGTCTGTTATCGGTAATTGCAAGGTTTCCTCTAAAGAAGGACAAGTCTTTTGAAGACCCTCTAAATCTATGTGAGAAAGCTCAATAGGTTTTCCTTTGGAAAGAACCAACGGATGAACAGTTTTTACCTTGGACTGTGCTCTGGTAAGGACGTTAACCGTGTCCTGTTGTTGAACAGATACAATCACTCGTAATTCTTCAATAGTTTCTGTGCTCTCTGGTTTTGATGACTGACTTTCTAAGGGTATTCCAGGAACTTCGTGACTATCAGCACTCGGATTTAAGTTATCTACCTGAATCACTTCTGGAGCTACACGGGAAGAAACAGAAATATTAGGTTCCAAATCTCTCTTGAAAATCCAAAACAGTCTCCTACAGATGGGAAAGTAGCCCCTTCTAAGTTCTCTACCAAAACAGAACATGAAGTTATTAGAGCAACTACTACATCTACCCACCCTGAGAACCACTTG